AATAAAAAGTTAACGTAAATAGAGGAAAATGGGCCACTTTGAGGGTATATTGTAGCGAGCCCTATCTCACCGCGAGGGTAGATAAGTCAGAACTTACACACAAGGGTCGGTAACGAGCATTACTTCCAGTAACCTTTGACCCGCACAATGAGCTTGAGTAATTAAACGAGTATTTTTAATAGGCCTCAGCCCATTGTTGTGGGAAAGATTCCTTTGAAATATCCTTGCTATCAAATTTTATTTTAGACATCTGCTTTCCTTACGTAAAAATTTAAATGAAATCTGAATCATGATTTCAGTTTTAATTACATTTTACTTGTTAGATATATCTGTCGACCTCTGTGGTCGAGTGGCATTCAATTCAGTAAAACTAACTTTTCTATATTGTCTCAAGTCTGGGTGTTTGTGGTACCGCTGTCTAATAATATTTAATCTATATCCGAACTAAACAGCAAAGTGAAATGTACTTGTACAAATCAAAGCAAACTTGAGTTGTGACTGGTTACGTTTTCATTTGATAACCACGCGTTTCCAGAAGCACTTCATAAAGCTAATATCGTTAAAAGCGAGCCAGAGTCCTCAAACGACTCGATTACTCCCAATACGAGACGGAAACTACGTCACAAAGGGAAACTTACACACAACCCCACGATAGGAGAAACCGACACTTGTTAGTGAGTAACGGGACACGGACAGGTACAAAGGCAATAATAATTGTACCTATTAATCTGGTAAATTACATTGTGAAACATGTTCAATAAGTATTGTATTATTAAATTATTAACGTTGTCGTCTACGCTCGTAGCGCTACACCAAATTTTTACGCGACGAAATACGCGGCGGTGCACCTACGCATGTAATTATTATACATATAAATATGGATTATATTAGGATTTCTTCAATGAGCATTTTCTTTAAGAATATCTATACAAGCTTTTGTTAAAATACACTTTTCCCAAAGCTAGTGCAGGAACGTGCCGAGCATAAAGCCACCTGGGCTGTCCGGCGTCGACTCTTGAAGGAGATTAGTTCCCCGACTCCCTGCCTTTTCACGAACGCTAAAGTATCGGCTACTGAAGGAACTCTTTGGCCGGCCGAGAATGAGCAACCGCTGTGGGAGGAACGAACTCGCCTGCAAACTTAATTTAAAGTGTCCACAAATACTAAGGATTTGACTTGGTCAAGCATTTTTAAACTATTACTTACTGTGCAAATATTTTATATAATATTATACATAATATATAATTATAATATTATATATAACATATAATATTTTATATAATTTTTTTTTATTCATCCCATAAAATGACACGTAGTTAAGAAGCCTTTAAGTCATATATTCCGTGTCAGGAAAAAATGGACAACCCCTCTGGATCTAAGGAAAGCTATCTTGGAAACATAATTTAAAGTGTCCTCAAGTAAACAAGGGTTTGAGGTCGGTCGAGTACTTCGTTAATTAGTGTTGTTTTAAGTGTCATTGTCTGAGCAAACATTTTAATCGTTGTACTAAACTGACATGTAGATGTGTCACTGTATAGATTCTTATAGCACAATATGATACATATATACAGGATGTAATCGTTAAATGTGCCTAGGCGATTATTCCGTAAATAATAGGGGTTAAAGTATGAAATTGCCGATTTGTACTGAAAATCTAAATTGTTTATTTTTTAAATTTTTAACAAATTTATTTAATCAAAATAGTTGCCATTATTATCTATACATTGCTGCCATCTAATGGGAAGGTTATTAATGCCTTTGCGATAGAACTCCGACGATCTAGACTGCACAAACTGTGTGAAAGCATTTTGTACTGCCTCCTGGGAAGAAAACTTCTTGTCACGTAGATAATTGTCTAAATCACGAAAAAAATGGTGGTCCGTTGGAGCAAGGTCTGGTGAATACGGAGGATGACGAATGGTTTCTAACTGCAGTTCCTGAAGGGTCAAAATGGTTTCTCGTGCTGTGTGAGGTCTCGCGTTGTCGTGGAGCAATAATGGTGAAGATCGATTCATGAGTCGGGGCTGTTTTACTGCTAGTTTTGTCAACATGGTTCGGAGTTCGGCACAATAGACATCTGCCGTTATTGCTTGACCAGATCGGAGAAAACTATAGTGAATAACACCATGCTGAGACCACCAAACAGTTACTATTACCTTTTTATTGGTAAGTTTTGCTTTAGGACACTGTTGCGGCATTTGACCTGGGGTCAGCCATTGCATTTTTCTTTTCCGGTTATCATAAAGAATCCACTTTTCATCACATGCTACAATTCGATCCAATATTCCTTCATTTCTGTACCGGTTCAACAAGGCAACACAAGTTTCAACACGCGTTTCTTTCTGCAGATCAGTCAAATCATGAGGCACCCATTTTTCGTATTTTTTTATTTTATTGATTTGACGCAAGTGAGTCAATATTGTGGGTAAGGTAACGTTAAACCATGCCGCTAATTCCTGGGTAGTTTGACTAGGATCGGCTTCCACTATCTCTCTTAATTCATCGTTATTCACCTGTGTCGGCGGTCTTCCTCGTGGCTCGTTCTTTAAGTCGAAATTTCCATCACGAAAGCGTTTAAACCAAAATCGCACGGTGCGTTCATTAGTAGACCCCTCTCCAAACGCAGCATTGATATTGCGGGCTGTTTCTGCCGCGTTAGTTCCGCGTCGGAACTCGTATTCAAAAATCACTCGAATTTTCGCAGTATCCATCTTTCTTGTCTAAATTGAATAACAAAAACAATTGAAAGTCGATATTCAAATGTTTCAAATTAAAAAAAAAAAAATCACAGAAACCATTTGAAAAAAGTTTCATTCGAAAACCTCAAACCATGAAGATTCTATGAAAATTCAAAGAACCTATTGCAATAAAACGGCAATTTCATACTTTAACCCCTAATATATGAGAAATCAAAAACCTTTAAGCTGATATCGAAAGTGCATGAGTAAAACGACATCAATAATATTTTTTAAACATAAAACTAGAAATAGCCAAAATTTTAACGTTAAACGCTCCCATACACTAAATATGACCTTCGTAATGAGCTTTAGTTGACCTACTTTGAGAGGTAGCAATAAGTTTACAAATAACAAAACTGCTATAAATAAACAATAAAACTATATTTTAATTGACTAAAAATTAGGTAATGTTTAGTTTTAAGTAAGTACAACATTTTCTATTCAAAGCAGTTGTTCGAAACTAAAGCTTCTCTACGTCTGTGATATTAAATGTATTAATGTTAATTTTGAATATTTTCAGTTTTATTTTTAAAAAGTTATTGAAGCCGGTTTACTTATTAGCTTTTATATTTACAGAATAAAATGCCCGGGCATACTTAACGATTACAACCTGTATATATATTTTATATTTTATTTTATGAATGGGATATTTAAGAATAGTACCTGTTATGTGGCAACCATGTACACTCAGTTCAAAGTTTGAAGCAGTGGACAAAGATCAGTTGGGAGGTTGTTAATATGTTTTCTATATAAATTCTGGTGAAAAACACTTCTGGTACGTTAGTTTACATTCTTGTTTCAAAGTTTATATTCGCGGTAAACGAAATTTGTTCATTATGAATTCCACGTGCGTAAACACAGAGCAGCCTGTGTCGGAGGTAGACTAATTAAATTTTCATAACACCTCAAGCATTCTACTCAAGTACCTATGTACTAAATAAGCACGTAACGTCACAAATTTCACAGTTAACCACATTACTTGTAGTCACAACATACAACAGGTCCTATTCTAAAAACAATACCTAGAAATCATCAAGCTTTTTTTATAATAGCAAGTGACGGGACGAACAAGTCTTGCGCTTGGTGGTACACGACACGCCTATTTTGACAGTTGCAATGCCACTCAGAACTAGAAATCAATTAAAATAAAACTATTCCTTGACAAAGTCTTTTTTCTCATAAGCATTTAAGCCTTACATATTTTATCTAAGATACAATCAGAGTAGTTTTATTAAAAAAAAATAAGTGTTTGTTTAATGCATTTTTCTACATGACACGAATTAAAGAAAAATATTTGTTTAACAAATATCATTTCATTCTTTAATGAAACAAATATTTTTCTTTCTTTTGTTTATAATTTCAATCGGACTGAAATTCTCCAAGTTGTACGAAATATCAATAGATATTATGTTCCAAATCAAACATACCTACCTATATTGTATGAAAGTTTGCAAACTATCTCATCGAAAGCTTCCGAGACGTAGACCGATATTGAAGTATAGTCAGCAGAGGGGTTGTCAGTTATCGACCTTAATCAGTAGTTACAAGTTTGATCAATAGAGTCCTGCGGAATATGAAGTACCTAGTCACTTCATTCTAGTACTACTTGGACCGGCAAACTTCGTAGTAAGACACAATTCACGACTTGTGTAAGGAGATGCATTATTTTGCACGTGTGTGTGTTCAGAATCTGCTAAGTTCTAACTACAAAAATTATATTGATTTATATTTTACTTCATTCAAAACTGGCCTCTTTATGTCTACCAGTAGAAATATACAATAGAAAATCATTAACATACTCCAGTTCTTTCGTTAGCGTAAACAAAGCCTCAATTGTTTCCGATGGAAGAGGATGTGAGACCAAAATAAAAAGCTTATTTGAGTAACTGAGATCGGATGCGTATAAATATATCGTTTTCACGATAAGTCTATACCCACGTCCTTTGAAATATCTGTCCCTCGCGCAGACATTCTGTTTAGCATCGGCGTTGAAAAGCCCCAAATTGATTCTGGTGATTTATGTGATTTGGAAAAATAAAAGACGGTCCCCTATAACTTTTAAACGTGTAGCGACCGACATCCTTCCCTATCTGATAAACGGTGAAGTGATAAAGCATCCCGAAAATAAAAGGGTCGACGTCAATAATCGTGTGGGTTCAAAATATGTAGTGAATAGAAAAATTTATTGCTACAATATTTTGTATATTTTCTTTATTCAAAAATTGCATCGAAATCAAACAAGTAATTGTCTAATGGAATAAATAGGGCGTGGAAGAAGTTGCAAATCTGCCAGGCACTCTGCCCAAATGGGACGAGCTTTACAATTTACAATGAATAGAAAACGTATAGAAAACACGACGCGACACTCGTCCAGGAGACGATATTTTATGAAAACTTTAACGAACTCTCGTTCGTAATGGAACGCAATTCAATAGGAAACGCTCCTTAGTGGTAGTGCTTGATACACCCACTTTAATTGTACTGTCTGGTAAACTTAAAAAGCAATTTCCTGAGTTTATCTACTCGCAGAAGCTGGGAGGCAGAAGTCTCTTTTAGAATAATTTTGTCAATTTATAAAGTTACGGGACTTCACTGTAAATGGATACGAAAATCAATTTGCAACCGGAATCCATTGAGATATGGATGTACAGTACAGCATAGCATCTCATCCACCTACTTATCCGAAATTCTCACCTGTCTGCGATGCCGGTGAAGTTTTTATAACTTCTACCTTGCATATTATATGGCGGCAAAAAATTGGATTTCCGTCAAAACCATTCTGGGATATTCATGATATTTTAGAGCAATTCTTATAACGAAGGGTATGACTTATTCATGTTCTCGGCAGACGCAATAAGTTGGAAGGCTGCTATCGTATAATAACGAGACAATAACGAACGTACCTACTGTCTGCGAGAATTCTCATCGTCTTCTGTTGTATCATTTATTTTCCACGATAATTAAGACCGACGCAACGGCGCACATGTTTTGAGACTTCAAATTCTAAGGCTCGTTAATAGAGGCTAGGCAGTAACGATTACAAATCAAAGCTGTTGTAAGTACTTAGAAACACATAACCTCCTTACGTCAGTAAGTATTATTAAAATAAAACAAATAGAACCATTAATAAAGTAGATATCTATGTGGTGGCTAACGGTACATAGAAATGCCAAATATTATTGGGAAGCTCCCGTCCGTACACGTCGAGGCAGGTTTTCACAAGGGGTGCAGACATCTGGAATAAGACATGATTAATATTTTATCATCAAGCGTCTTTCGCTAATATTTTATCTATTATTAAATAATCATAATAGCTCTTACTAAGCGTATGACAAAAGCGTGCCACGTTTGTACAGTAGAATACTTTGGAAATTATGTAATTTGAACTTCGTGATATTTATTGGAATCCCATTGCATATTTTTTATATAATGCTGAATGATGGGACGAACAAGTCATGCGCCTGGTGGTAAGCGACACGCCTGGTCATAACAGTTGCAGCGCCACTCACAAACTTTGAATCACAAAGTTCTCAGGAGCACTACTACCGTACCCGTCACCCAGAGATATAAGTTGACAACTCCCATGTGCATGTAATTACACTTACCCTTACCCTTCAAAACTGGAATGCAGTAATGCTCACATTACTGTCTGGCGGCAGAAATAGGTAAGGTTCCCTGGACGAACTCTTTCACAAGGCGCCCTACTGATACAAAACGAGAAGGATTAAGATATAGTCCGCTAAGCTGGTGACACGTGTGTTGAGGACTTCGCACCAGCACTAAGGAAAGTTTTGATCAATTTTATTTATTTTTATGGACAACTCAAGCTTGACCAAAAAATTGACTACGCCGAAATTATTTTCACAAAAAAAGATTTAATAGTTCCTAAGACTGTTTCCTTGTAATTTCTATTCTTTCGGATTTCCCCAATCTGTTCCTTTAAAAAAATCTGTATAGCTACGTGTAAATCAAATAATACAAGAAAGTATACGAAGATTGAACATCTCAAGTGGGCTCGAGATCAAACGGAACCTTACAGAATATGCAGACTGGCTCCCTACCGACCTATTCACTGTCATAACTTTAAGTAGCTTACCACTACAAAATTTTGTTTATTTATTTTCTGATGAGAATAAATAGTCAAGGTGGAATATATTTCTTCAGAGATTATGTCTGTTGGAGCGAAAAAGTGGAAAAAAAACAATATTTTTGGGTTATCGAAAGGGTTTTTTTAAGGTGTCAAGCGTCGGGTCGAACAAGTCGTGCGCCTGGTGGCTAGCGACGAGCGAGTGACAGAGTTTTAAATTGCAGAAACCTGACAGGCACTGTCACTGCGCCCAAACGTCCCAAAACCGCGTCCCAAGCCCCATGTGCCTGTAATTTCACCAGCATCCTTACCCTTCAAAACCGGAACACGGTAATGCTCACATTACTGCTTGGTTGCAGAAGTAAGGTAGCAGTACTTCCCTGGACAACTCTTTCACAAGGACCACGAAATAACGGTTTTCAGCAACATATCCGAATTTTAATTACCATTTCGAACAAGATATCACTATGGTCCTCCGCGGCGTGGTAAACATTTAATGAAGTTATAATTTTACCTTTCCATAGAATCCCGACGCCGAGAAACATGTGTTAATGCCTAAATTGACATTCGTCGCGCAGTGGTTTATTATTACATCTGTGTTTACCTGTAACGAGACACCTTTAAAAGTTTGTATGTGTACTAGTCTTAATTTATAACTCTCCTTGTCGTAACTAAGTAACGCATTTGCATTTCGGTAACTTTCGAGATTTTGGCAACTAAAGATTTGTCACCTAAAAAAGTCAATTACGCTAATATTGCTTAACAGTAAAACTGAAACTAAATAAGATATGGCGGTGTAGCGAGTCTAGCATGTTTGCCGTGACTGGAGTAGAATTCTTTCGCAATAATGCGAAAGAGACATTGGTCTTTTTTTAGAATAGTGAGCGATTCGGCCAATATAATTGTAAGGACAGTATGCGATACGTGCTACTTTGTAAGCGAACACTCCATTTTTAAATGTAAACAAATTAATTGTAATTATACTATTATTTATAATATTATTTACTTCATTAATAATAATAATTTTCGGTTAATCAAATTTAATTGTTATGTAACGTAATAAGTAATGTTAAATTTATTAATGGGTGTATACCTAATTTTTTTTTTAATTATTCATTATTTCTTTTATTATTTATTTATTAAAAAACCGATAAGAGGGGCTTGTGGATTTCGCTGGTCCCAGATATGTTAATACCTCGCTAAAAATGTCGATTACGTTAGTTATGGTACGGCAGGTAGTGCTGACATTCTATTACAGTTATTCGCGCAGGTATAGATATGCCTAAATAGGTACAACCTTTTCCTATATCAAGAGGTCCGAGGGAAAACCCAATAAGTAAAAGACAACGTGATTCTCCCAGATCCGATTCTAGAAATCTTTAACTTTAGAAATATAAGAACTTTGTTCTTATTACAAATCAATATAAATTCAACCTCATTTTTGCTAATTTTCTGTTTTTATTTTGTTTCTTTATTTCTTTTTTTACAAAATTCGGGGAGTATAACATTAGTAAATAAATAAGACTGTTTATTAAAAACAGAAAATGGCCAAAAATTAAGTTGACGTTAATGTTCACTGGAGGTGTCGCAGAAAGATGGTTTAAAAAATCTGAGACGTGTCTGTCTGTCGCGCAAAATTGACGTATCGTAGACTATCTCAACGTTGTCATGTGATTATTTAAACAATGAAAAGCTCAGTTCCCAGTGATAGAAAATTCTGGTGCATTTTCTGCACAAATCTCAGTAGTATGTCAAAAAAGGAACTATTTTGATGTGGGACACTATTCTTGATAAGCAACGACATTAAAGTCACGAAAATATTACGAACTACATGAAACACATTACGTATACTTATTGTCTAGAATAATACTTATTATTATCGATCTATTATAAATATCTATCTTGAAGAGTTGCCATTTTGCAGATGTAGCCTAATTACACCAAGGGTGCGACATCTGAGCTGCATTGTAGGGATATTTTTTATAAAAAATAATAATAAACGTCTTTATGTAAATATCTGAATTCTTTTATTTATGTACATTTCTATTAAAATTCACACAACTCACATGTACGGGTTCTCCTTCTTGTTCAAATCTGGTAAGGTCGGGTCTCTGTTTAGGTAGGACACGCCATCTAGTATTGCTTACGGGATGCTCGCTCAGGTAAAGAGGGTACGTTCCAATCAAACCAGGGATAGGGTTTGGGTCGTAGCGAATGTACAACGGCTGAAATCAAACACATTTTACCACATATTTCTGCAAGAAATATTTTGCTAACAAGAACCGAAATTCTTCCTTGAACATTATAACTCTCTCGTTTGATTGAATTTTTCAAACATTTTCCTGTGTTTTCTTTACGTATAAAGGTTTAGTCATAGTGTATAAATTAACTGGTAGTCTTTGTTTTTATATAAGTCTATGAATATGAATATCTTAGACTATGGAAACCAAATTTTTTTCCATCCTCTAAGATGAATATACACTGTAAAAACGTTTCTGGCGAAAAAAAGTCAGAAAACTAAACTATTGTAGAAAAATAAAATTACAACGTAAGATTTGACAATATGGCAATTTAGACGCTTAACGCTACGGTTACAACGCATGCGAATTCTGACGAAAATGTGTTCGGACGAATACATCCGAAATCGTCGTCAGAACGAAGCAGTTACTACTAAGACTCATAAATACGTACCTTATAATAAAACATTACATTACATGTTGCATATCGCACTGCTATCACAATAGTGTTGTAACTCAAAATATGTGAAATTTAATATAATATCATTACTGAACGTAAAATTTGATTCTCTGCACGTCAAAAAACCGTCGTTAGAATATTGTAAGAAACAATCAAAAGATATTTACTTAACTCGAAATGAGACACACTTTATATGAGCTATTTCTGGCCAAAATAATCCTCATTTAAAAACATGAAATTATTTTTTCCATTTTATTTTTAAATATATTTGAAAAATTGTTTAAGTATCGAATTCTCAGGTTTTAGCGATTGTTACACATAGGAAATGAAACTATTTTTCCGGATTTAAATCGCGTATATTTGTTTCTTCAATCAAACCGACGTTTCGGGCCCTTACAGGTCCCATGGTGGTCAATGTCAACGTGGTCACCAGTGATCAAGGGACCTGTAAGGCCGGAAACGTCGGTTTGTTTGAAAAAACAAATATATATATGCGATTTAAATCCGGAAAAATAGTTTCATTTTCTAAATTGTTTAAGTGTCTATAATAAATCATAACATATAAATTTTAATGATTTTTTTGCGGTAAGTGAGTAATTAGTTTTTCATCGATTCTGAAAAAATAATCTTTTGAGTTAATGTGCGATATATCACAATAAATCCGAACAAAACAAAACCACGTTTCATTCTCGTCAAATATGTTTTTCGCGATGGTGGCCGCCCGTCAGCGTTCCGTTGATACGATTATGATGATATCGATTTACTTCTTATTTCGATAAAACTAATTCTTATGAATCAATGTAAGTCTTCTAATAAAACAAAATATATTAATGTTAAGTTTCGCTAACATGATGGATAAAATGTAAACATTAAATTTAATTTAGGAAATGAAACTATTTTTCCGGATTTAAATCACGGTTAAACATGGGACCTGTAAAGGGCCCGAAACGTTGGTTTGTTTGAAACAAAAATATACGCAATTTAAATCCGGAAAAATAGTTTCATTAAATTTAATTACTTGTGTAATTAATGTAAACCCAACATCTAAATAAATTCAAAATTGTACTTAATGCTAATGCTCAGTTCTGTAACTTTCACGCACTTTTGCCAAGAAATATCTCTGTTATGATCATTTTTGTCTCTCATATCCCACAAACACCTGTTCTCGTACAGAACACTTGTCAATTTATCGTTATACACGGTGAAATAACTAAAACACTCGAAATGCAAAACACGAAAACACCCAAATCTAACACAGGTCGCACGAAAATGTCAAGCGTTCAACTGGTTCTGACGACGTTGTGCATGTTCTGGCGTATTCGTCGCTACCAGTGTACACTCACATCATTGTCCCACAGTCTCATTGAAAAACTGGTGTTTGTTTGTTGAAATGAATTCGTCATAATCGTCAAAACACATTTTCGTTACAACTCGCACCCATAGTAATCGTAGCCTTAGCTTGTCCCGAAAGACGAAAAACTTTACTACTACTGGATATCCTCTACGCACGACGTGTCATTCCATTCATAGACATCTGGCATAACCTGGGTAACAATCGGCGAGCACCTTACGCTGATTGACAAATCCTTTCACCACGTTGGCAAGCATTAGATATAGTGTATGCTATGTATGAAGAAGATACCACCAAGCTACTCTACCTACAATACAATTTAAGATACAATTTTTTTTGTGAAAATAGTCCACTAGTTTGTTATTATAAATTAAGTAAATTGAAATTAGAAACTATCAACACTTTTATAAACACCTTCAAAAAGCACTCTAAATACTTAAATCCTCCATTCTTCTTCTTTATATTAAACTGCCTCTGTGACCAAACGGTTACCATGGTGGTTTGCCACGGGTTCGATTCCCGGGTCGGAAGAAATATTTGAATGGTCTACATTTATTTCTAGTGTGTGTAACTTGTGGTTGTCTATGTGTATGTTCATGGCACCTGCGACATAGGGTTTCCCTAGTGTGGGGTTATGAATGTGTGCGTTATTTATTTAATTAATATTATAATTGTAAGTCAATGATTGCTACTGAACATTCAAGTTTACGTAGGCCATAACTAGTTTCTGTATTCTGATACCGAAATACGAAGATCTATCTTCGTAGGTAATTACGAGGGTATAGTGTTCGCACGCAATATTAAATTCTGTAATATAAAAACAGACCCCTAAAATATTGCAAATTCAATTCAAAATAGTTTAGCATAAATAGAAAGCATTTCGTTTATCGGAGATTGATCAGGCCAGGGCCAAGGACGCAACACAGGCCGACATATCGCTGACTTTATTATTTATGAATTACTCGTAATTAACGTAAGAGTAAAATTCGCATATAAACTGTATCGATTTAGATGTTCACTAAATTAAAACTTTTATAAATGTATATCAACTTTTAGTAACTAATTACAAATTTGCACAGAGGGTTCTAAGTCAAGCACAAGTTTGGGTATTTTAATACGACTACACCTTTTTTGTTGCATCCTGTATACATACATTTTCATGTTAGAAAGTAATTACTGCAGCAACAACCTAAAAACTATGAAACATATTTTACCAAGTTTTTACTTAATGAGAAACTAAGACGATGAGATAATGGGAAACTAAGAAATTACATCTCGTACAATAGAATAATAATGGGATACCAGTCTACGCAGCTATTTACAAAGCACAGGCCACATCGCGAGCGAAGCTGAACTAAGTTAACTTTAGATCACGAAGTTAAAAATATTCCTTGTTTTGAGATTATACGAGTATTAAGTATCATAATATTCTAATCAATTCTTCATATAGCGACAATTAAAGAACAAATTTGTAAATCCAAAGTATAATAATAATAACACGCACACACTCATAGCCCCGCACTAGGGGACCCTGTATCGCGGGTGCCATGGACACACACATAGACAACCACAAATTACACCAAAACTCACGAGAGAAATAAATATAGGCCATACAAATAACACCATTTCTCAATACAATTTCTCACGGCGCGGGAATCGAGTCAGAGACCTCTGCGTGGCAGTCCGACATCGTAACCGTTCGGCCACAGAGGCAGTTCAGAATATAATATTAATGACTAAAAATTTACCTTTTTTCTTTCAATAGACGAGGAGAGCGTTAAAAGAAATTCTTGGTTGTATTTTAAATATTCTTTTTCTCTATTGCAATAATCAGAGCTAGTGACAACGAAGGTGCTTCTCGCGTAAGGGGTTTTGTCGGGAAATGCTGCTATAGTACACCCATCTTCTAATTCTTGGGAATAGTCAATATCGTTAGACGATATGCGGCCTCCGAGAAGAAGGCCCTTATTATCTGGTTGTGATGGACGTAGCCCTGTTAAGTCGCAAACAACGTAAGCAGAAATTATTTTGACAGTACTCTTAGAGCTCTTAGAGCCAATTGCAAATTAGAGCCAATCGGGCGAATGTCAACTTTGGAGTGCCAGGTCGAGAAAACCTGTTCTTGTCTTATCATATTAATTTTCTGCGCGCAGATTGCGGGACACATGGGCAGCCCTCACACCTCACCTCCTAAAATCTAGGCTCGCGTTCAAATACTTCGCCTGAAGTAGAATAGAAGATCTACACAAGTAGTCGAAAGATAAAGATAACAATACAAAATGAAGTGGTTAGGTGATCTGGCCACGAGCTCTTGGCAAAGATCTAAAATACACACACTCGCATTAGATATTCATTAACAAAATCTTTTATTATAATACTTATTTACCAGAGACGTAAGGTGCCAACAGACAGATTTTCGATCCAAAGTTGAAACTGCCAGTAGATTGTGTCAAATCAGCAGGCTTCAACAAATTCTTTGACATCTTGCGAAAACGCGCCAACATCAAACCACCTTTTTTCATTTGATCGAGAAACAAGTTTAATTTATGCTGTAAATAAAAGTAAAATCAGTAAAATATTAACTATTAGTCGTCCCACTAACTGACACGTGTATTCTGCAGGAAGAGTTTATTAGGTTGATACTTAGTCCTATTTGGTCAGAAGCTTGGTTTCAACTGGTTTTATCAACATTCTCGTCAAACTTCCAGAGTTCTTCATCGTTAAAGACAAAATATATGGGCACATTGTTATATAAGAAAAACAAGAACCAAGAAACAACAAGAAAATTTACTATCCCTTCATAATACCACATGAGGCACCGAATATAAATAAAATATAAAGGTACAATTAGAAAAATATATAATGGGTGAATTTCCTTAACATTTCACTTTATATTATAAGCCAATATTTTTTTTGCTTACCTACATCGTTACTGCCTGTATCATATCGCACCTCCGCTTCGATGGAACAGCGTCTTATTTACATTTGCGGAAATTTACAGTGAAACGAGTTAAAAGTAGATTTTTTTTAGGACTATGGTACATTTAAAGCGCTCATTGTGCGGTTGCACACGGCACCTTTTAGCAGCGATGTAAACGCGATGCAGTCGCTAATCGTCTACCTTTACACACGCACGCGATTTTAAGCAATAATGCCAACGCGATGCAAGCGCGCAACTGCATCGATGCAATCGCTTATAAATCCCAAGTGTAGCGATGCAATCGCACGTGTCACGAACGCGCGTTTGCATCGCTATTAAAACTCGCCGTGTGTTTGTGCCACTCATAGATGGTATACTATTTCAATAAGCATTTTGTCCTCTATGGAAAAGTGATTTATGAATAATGTGAGTAAATTTTTTAGAACTCTGTTTTTGCCTCAGAGGATAGAAAAAAAAAAAAGTAATTTAAGGTTATTAGAAATTTCATTCTCAAGTAATTTTTAAATTTTTTGCAGTCAAGCAAATCTGTATGTCACCGTAGGTACGATATGTAATGTGGATACCTACGTATCCAATAGCGTATAAAAGAAATAATTATAGTTAGCCTATACATATATATAGTCCCATTGCTGGGGACAGGATTTCTCTCATAATGAGAGGACTTGGGCTGTAGTTCCCACGCAGGTTCAATTCGGGTTGGGAACTTCACATACATTATTAAATTACTTTGCAGATGTGTGCAGTTTTCCTCACGGTGTTTTCCTTCACCGTAAAAGCTCATGGTAAAACTCGGAGGTAAACCCCGGATTCGAAACCACGATCATCAGCTTGAAAGGCGGTTGGTCAAACCGTTAGGCTACCACGACTTTATATCTAATAACGTACAGTGAACTAATAAAAAGAATGTCAAAGCGAGCAGCTATAAAAAAGTCAGCCATCTCCTTATGGCTATGGACCGTGAAGAGTGGAGGAGGCTACACCAACAAGAGCCTGGCTCTTAAACAAGACGATGTGTCTAATACATATAATAATAGGTACTTGTACTATCTGTATCCATAATATAATTAAAATAACTGCAATCCGTTACTCACCTCCTCTAACTTTGAAGCTTCAAACCAATTACCGACGCGTACTCGGTTGGAGTAAGTGATTTGTTTATTTTCGTCAAAACACGGCTTAAACATCATATTTGCTTGTTAAAAATACACCGAAATAATATTACAAACGTAAAATCAAAAAAACGAGGAAAACATACACTGCTATAAAGAACGACAAGTTTCAAGATTTTGTTAAGTCAAATTGACTTTAGACCTTTTTTCCATCCTCTAAGCTTTAGACTGACTACATAAGTCATAGTTTTGTCAAATCAACATTTAAATAAATTTCGCCGTTTTATCTTAGACTATGGAAACTATTTTTTCCATCCTCTAAGCGTTTTATAGACAAAAGTGAATGACTGAAACTCTAACCGTGAAAAGTTAAGAAAAAAGAAAAAATATATTAAAGAAAGGAGCATTTCTTTGTATAGCTAATTTACCCAGACTCTTTGGTGCTTAAGTAATTTATTTCCTCAAATATGTACATGTTCAAAGAGCTACGGTGTATAGTAGTTGTTGATATTCCCAGCATAGTTGGGAGCATTTCTTAGGAAACCCGCAAAAAGGACCGCTAACTAAATAGTAGTTTACTTTGGAATGTTAGACTCCGCACATAGACAGCGACAAGAATTTAAGGTACCTACATTCTTCAAGCCGAAAAATAATAATATTATATATTATATATGGAAGAAGAGTTTAGTTCGATTTATAGCGGCAGCCTGCACCGCTGGGAATTTTCCAATAATGTGCAGACTATGAAATTATATAAAAAGTCGTAATAAAGTGCTTTCGAAGTGCTTTCGAATGTGCCTCCTCGGTTACCATGCTAGTCTGCCACGCAGAGGTCTCCGATTCGATTGCCGGGTGAAATTTTTGTAAGGCCTACATTTATTTATCTCGTGAGTTTGGGTATAATTTGTGGCTGTCTATTGTGTGTGTCCAAGGCACCCGCGATACAGGGATATATGGTCACGTTATGTATACTAATTATTGTAGAGAAGATTCAAGAAATTATTTGAAGAGGTATGTAGTCTCAAAGCTGCATTTTTTTACAACAAGTCAAGCGCCTCATGATAATTTATATTTATTTATTTATTTGTATTCAGGTTACAAAGACCCATAAATACATACCTTATAGACTAACATACATAATAATACAGTAAAACACTCATATAATATATATGTACCTCAAGGAAAAACATACATACATTATAATAAAACAGTATTTCTTACTAATCTACACGAATTGCACTTGTCTGCTACGTGTGGCGCAATCTGATGTCAGGTAACCTGCCGCGGAATCGTCGATACATGACACCCTTCGGCCAAATCTCTTCCTTGATGAAAGTCGATATATGTTCGGTCGGCACTCTTATCACAAACGAATTAATGCGGAATTCCAACCGCTCGACTCTCAAGGTGTATTTGGCTTTATGTCTGATGTACTCCGCTATCTCCTCAGACTTCGTGGAGCAATGCAGTCGTGACAGGTGCAGGGGCTGACATGCACACGCGTGACGTTTCCGCCGGAACGGAGGTGCGGGCAGCAGGCGCGGAGCACCACGCGTGACGGCAGCAGCGATCGGTAACGCGACCTTTTGTGCCTACTCGACACTGCTGATGGATGCATTTTGCGCCCCACGTCGCGTGTTTATATTAGAGGCTTCTGGGACCTACATACCGTAGCAGCGTTGCTTAATAACGCAACTTGGGCACGCAGCTCACTTATGGTGTTATCTGAAGCCTCCAATTTAAACTGCAACTCGGCCAGCCTTGATTTCAGGGAAGTCACATTTTTCAGCAGCCTGGTGACATCGACGTGGTCGAAGCGATAAGCGGCACGCCTGTCCATAACAGTTATAGTGTGCCACATAGAGCTTTAAATCACAAAGATTGCGCCCGTCACTTGGAGACATAATTTGACAAGTCCCATGAGCCAGTAACATTACCATTGCTAAAATTTGCATTGAGCCAGCTATGGCCTTAACCTTAGTAGAAATGATACTCGCCGTTCCTAATAGCTTAATACTTACGGATATTAATTAATAAACAAGTGAAGTAGACTTCAAATTTCAATTCACTTTTTAATTAAGAAGATCGTCCCAAAAGGAGAAACAAACAAAAAACGTAACAATTTCAGTCTTTGTCTTGCTTTTTTGTTTCAACATCACTAACTAGGGCAAAAACATTCTCAGCAGTAAACTTCTTGTGAATATTGAGGTAATTACGACAAGTTACTCCACATTCCTGAAATTATATAAAAACTCATCAAAAATAACCTTGTATGTTTAGTTATTCGTCAAGATGGAAGCACATTCCGGATTATAAAAGTTGTTAGAACCACTAACACTTAACTAAGTCATTAAGCTAGAGATGATTAATATAATATATAGCTCAAATTATAACGTTAAATTGAAAAAATATTATAGCAATTATAATTTGAAAGACATAAAGGTGCTAAAATTATAACTAAATTTTTTTTCACTTTGGATTGGAGTAGGTACGTTAAGAAAATTAAACCAAATGCCATCTAGCGACATAATTTTCCAATATTTCAATGGCATACCATCAATCTATCCGTGCTTCACTTACGCAGCTAACAAACAAAATCCTTCTTCGTTCCGTGTTATCTCCCTTAATATTTCATAGATGGCACTATATTCTACATGAAAATTGCTGCTCTTGTCATTGGTTGAAACAATTATAACGTGAAATACTTTCACATATTATTTGTAGCATTTAACGTTTGGCGAAACGCGAAATAGCTGATTGGTTTATTGATGTTAAATTTCATGTTTGAGTACGCTAAGCACTAATGCTATATTTAGCACTTAGCAAGTACATATTATAATTGTAGTTATGTTATATAAATTATAATTTTGGTTACGTTTTAATGTGATTTTGAGCTAATGGTGGAACGTTAGCAAAATTTCGTCTGGTAAAGCGATTTAAATTAAGATATGATTAAGTACTTGGATTTATTTTAGTTTAGCGTTTGTATAATTAATAAGTCGTTGTAATATTTGTATATAAAAGTACGAGTGTGTGCGTTATTATTAATTATTATGATTGTAATTAACTGTAAATAACCAGTGTAAAGTTTTGTGCAAATTCTAAATAGTAAATTGTTAAAGTATGAAGGGAAACTCATTGATTTATCGTTTATAACCTGTAACCACCATATCATGTAATACTGACAAAACAAATGAAATCGGTCGTAACTAACCATAAAAAGCTGTAAACTAATATAATAACGCTCACACTCTCAAACTATTCTATAGATAGACCATAGATGCTATAAATAACAAGTTGGCGCACGTCAACTATTTCACGTTTCTTTCCATTCGTTACATTATCACACGACCTTGAGCTGCTAAAAATTATAATTTTAGCACTTTAAATAGCGCGTTACAAAAATTTAGCATTTAGCGTGCTATGCGAATATAGCAGTTAATCTCATCTCTACATTAAGCTAGAAGATGGCAACAGCGTCTCTGTTTGTATCAGATTGCGGCAAAAGTATTTGCCAGAACTGTTATATTATTTTTAAGAAAAAAATAATGGACACAATTTGGCCTCTAAGGACACTCATGCAGAACATTAGGAGACATTAAACAATGATGTAGGTATAGACGAGGCATTGAGTACATAACCCGAAATAGAGACGAAATGTCATTTAATTTGTTTGAAAACTATGCTGCCAAAAACATTACGGTGACAACTGCGCTCCGATTGGCCAGCCCGAATTCGCAAAAATATACGGGCGTCATCAATTGTTTCACTTCATTCGACCTATTTAACCTAAGCTTTGCTATAATGGACGAAAATTGAAAAATTACATATTTAATTACCGATGAAATATGATTCCGTTTGTTTTGTAATTAGATATTTTTCTGTTTTTCCCACGCCACCGGATGGAACAGCCTCCATTGTTAGAGATATTATCTTTATTACAATAAATACAGAATATTTTTGGAATATACGGAGACGTACACAGGTCAGTTATTGGCGCTGTACTATTTCAGCTTTCTAATTTGTGATTTCAGTGCAAACGAGAGTTGATATTCAAAAGTGATATAAGGCCCATTTGTCTGATGAGTTGCCAGGGATGAAAGGCCTTTATTTCGTCTCTATTTCTGGTTATATACTGGATGAGTCGAGGCCAACAGTATATATACAAAATGTATCCCATGCTACTATAGATGTAGAATCATCTAAAATTTCGTAAATAGCATACATGTACATATATATTACGAACCCTATACCCCACCTACGGCGGGGTCGGGCTCGGCCTGCGGCGCGTAGTCGGTTTCAGATTACGGAGTTTGCTTATGCTCTTCGTTGGCACAGTGATTAAGTACCGATCCCTGATTTGAACCAAAAAAATATTTTTAAATTGTTTCTGGTCAGGATATTCTGGGTATTGCCCTCAGAATTATCGTTACTCATACTCATACTCATAGTACAGTAAATTCCCTACTTTGAAATCAGAAATTTGGAGTGATTGTCTGGCATTTTTTCCTTAAACTTCTCTTTTTGGCATAGCTTCCAAGAAAAAAGAATCTAACAGAGAGACGGTCAAGATACAACAACGCTATAAGTACCTTATTTCCACTACATCGGGAAGTATGCCTTACATTTTGAACAATTGTGAAATCTTGTACCGTAATAGAGTCTCCGTATACTACCTACGTAAGGTAGCGTGCAGACGCTTCGGGCTTCGCCCTCCGCTACACCTCGGCCCACGGTCGTAAAAAGTAAATTTTGACTGCAAATTATTATTAAACACCCATAGAGATCCCCACATGCCGATTTTCAGCTGAATTAGAGCAAATTTTCATCTGCCGCCAAAAAGTTT